CGAGGCGGAGGGAGGTCGGTGCCAGCTCGACTACCTCGAGCGCCGCGCAACCCACCCAGTTTCCCGCTCTGCCCTTGCGGAGGAGGCTGGGAGGCATGCGCTATCCGTAGGGCAGCGCTTGGAACAATAGAGTCATCAAAGGGCCTTCGCCCCGGCTCCTCCTAAGTCAGCAACGCTCTTCTCCCCTCCTTCAACAAGGCCCTGGCCCAACAGGTCCTCTTGGCCTGGTTTTAGGCCTGCTTTCCCAGTAAAAACATTTCATCTGTACCACCAGGGTTCTCCCTGAGTCCTGATTTAAATGAAAGTCTCCTCCTTGGGCTCTTACTAATGTTAAAATCCTATTTTCATTATTTTCCAGATAATATTCTATAAAAATGATCCAGACTAGCTATCGGAACTAGTCAAGATATTTTGCCACAAATAGGGACCTTTTGGGGCGCCTGGGTGGCTCAGGTGGTTGGGCGTCTGCCTTCTGCTCAGGTCATGATCTGGGGGTCCTGGGATCGAGCCCCACGTCAGGCTCTCTGCTCAGTGGGGAGTCTGCCTCTCTCTTACTCTGTGCTCTCTCTCTCTGTCAAATAAAATTTAAAAAAAGGGGGGGACCTTTCGCCTTCTTCTGCTACTGCAAATGATTGGACATCCATTTTCATTTCTTCTTCCTTCATGTGGGAAAACCTTTTGTTCACTGTGCTTCAGGCTGGACCTGGCCTGAAAGTGGGTCCTTGAATTACCTTTGTACTATTCCAACTTGCCAAGTGGTTACGAGACCTGAGGGAAGTGTTTAGGCGTGGGCTTTAGGTCAGGTATAGATAATCCATTTGGTACCAACTTTGGGCCCCAAAGATAAGGGCATTTGTAACTGGACCGAAGACAAGGAAACAATGAAAACTACGATTTCGCCCTCTGTGATGATCTTGACTGCCAGCACCACCAATGCCGTAAGTACAGAGGATTCACCTACCCAGTCTTTTTTTCTCTCCATCCAGGCTCTCTGCGAGAGAGATCTAAGTGAGCTAGTCCTCGTAGCTGGTGAGGGCATGGCTGGAGACTAAGTCTCAGCTGTGCCCAAAATGTCTAGGGATAAGTATGCTCGCCCAGGCAGTACCTATATCCTCTCTGGGAAGTTGCAGTGCCCCGAAGTGGTGAGGCTGTAGGTCTATGGGGCCTTCTGCCCCTCTCTGTATTTTTATTTAATACTCACAAACTTTGGTTCATCAATTTTTTTTTCTTACAGTTTCTGAAAGAAGGACCAAAGTAACACCAAGAACTCCCAGATGAAGAGGACCTTCGTGGATCTGTAACTAGGATTAACCAATTCTTTACTTCAAGAGAAAGTTTCAACGAATTCTGAGGACAAAGCCAAACAGGCCGGTGACTGCCCCTTGAGTACTGAGTGTAAACAAGCTTCTGGCTCCTCCAGGTCAAGCAGAGAAACTCTTTTCATTAGAATGTTGGGTTTCTTCTTTGTTATTCAAACGTACACCCACACATATCCTCTTCACCCTCCCTAATGAAAAACCTCAACAGATGGAGAGCCTAGGCTCCCAAGACTTCTGGCTGAGGAGATGCACTTCACTCAGGGGTGGGTTGGCCGGTACAGAAGGGGGGGCGGGTAGGGAGGAGGAGAAATGAGTAGCTAGCGTAGGTAATCACTATCTTTTAATACTCCTTACAGATAGAAATTCAAAAAATCCTGTTCAGCAAGGTTAGCAGCCTCTGGGGCCTAGGAAACCAATTTGGCTGATGTGTCTCTGATAGGGACTAGGCTTGGGGCTGCACCAGGGGGGAAAGTACTCATTCTATATTCTCTCTCTCTCATACAAAGAGATGGTACAAATGGATGTTTAACTTAATGATTCATCAGAGGCGGATTTTTCTCTGTCAGGTCCCTGGATGAGGCTGAGGTCTGAAAGCCAGGAGGCAGAACATTTACTTAATCGCCCTTTCTTACCACCTTTCCAGGGGCCAGGACTACTCTTCAGACCTTTCTTCTGCAACTACCCCACACCCCTGGCTAGCTCAGTTGGGTTTCTTTACCCCACTCCAGGCTGGATCCTGACTTTCTCCTGGTAGCCAGGGAAAGCTCTCCCTCTGCCATTTTAAATCTCTTTACCCACCCCCACTTCCCATTCTTCAGTGGGCAATTCGTGCAGCCTCCTCTCTACCCTGCTTTAATTCACGTTTGATTGCCTGGACAGAACAACCAGGGGCTCCCAAACGACTGCCACCCCCATCCATGGGCCTGGGTTTTAGACTCTGAGCCCTTTTCTTCAAGCCTCAGGAGGATCCCCCACAACCTCCCTGACCCCTCCCCCCCCACTCCACCCTTCAGCGGTCTCTGTAGGGAAAAAAATTAAAAGGAGCTGATCAAGGCTTGAGCCAAAGAGCCACTTCCTCCCCTGGAGCAGCAAACGAGGTACACCTCCCAGAGACCAATGCCCAAAGCGAAGTCCAGCCCTTCCTCCAGGCGTAGGCCCTCCGGTGCTATTGTGAGGCCTTACCCGAAGCCAAGGCCGGGGAAGTTGCGCACACAAAGGCGCAAGGCTCCTGGAAGCCCCGGCTGCTCCTAGCGCCCTCAGCGCAGCTCCCGACAGTGAGGGGTCAGAAGCCTGGAGGCCTTGGTGCGCTCCCCATTGCCCCCGGTGAGCTCGCGCAGAAGTCACGGGCTAGGGTGGAGGTTTCCTTCGCCTTCCAACTTGCCCCTTCCCGCTGCCGGTCACACACTCCCCCACTTCCCCCGGGACGGAGAGGCCTGGGCCTGGGGCGCCATTGCCTAGCCCGTGCTCCCCTCCCCCACTCTCTTTCTTTCCGAGACCGGGGAGGGAGGAGGCAGGGGCCTCCGCCGATAGAGCGGCTATTGTGACCTTCCCTCGCTGAGCGGGAACCCAACCGAGAGTGTACCGCCGGCGGGGGAGGAGGCGACTGTGTGTGCAGGCCTCGGGGTGCGGAGGGGGTGGTACTGGGAAATAAATAGAGGTTCGCAACCTTGGGCAGTTGGGCCCTTCTGAGGGCATTTGGTTGTGTTTAGACTCCAGTGCTTCCTAACATTAATTGCAGGCTCAAAAGGAGCAGAATTTATGGCGAAGGCCAAGGCGGCTTGTTTATAATTTATGAAGTTTTAAATGGCTGTGCCGCGGGCCGCCTCTCGCCCTGGCCGACGGCCGCGCGGGAAGCGCCAACCCAGACTCGGCGACCCCACCCCGCCCCGGGCCCCCCGCCACCCTGCGCGCGCCAGGAGCGACCGAGTGTGCCCATCACATGACACTCGCGCTAATGGCAGGAAAGAATCCGAGTTATTCTCAGAAGCCTCGGGGAACCTTTCTCCAAAGGTGAGAGAAAGCCGATTTGTCCCAAGCGAACTCCCCCACCCCATCAGAGAGGGGTGCCTCCGGGCAACCGCCCCAAGAGGGAGCCCCCAATCCCGCATTTCTTTGGAGCTTCAGTGTGAGAGGAAGCTGATGTCAGCCGGCCTAGACACCGTTTAAAGTCTAATCCATGAAACCCTAAGCCGCAGATGACACTTGGGGCCTTCGCAGACACCCGCAGACTCAGCAGATACTCCTGCGGTAACACACCGCGCTGGAAAACGCCTGGAGCCATAATGCATTATGTATTTTTATTATTATTTATGGTAGGAAGAGGAGATGAGGGAAAACCGGGCTGAATCTAAACAGCCTGATAATTCATCTATTTAATATTTAGCCAGTTAAGAAAGGTTGTTGTAATCCCTGCAAGGCAGCAAGCTCTTCTTTGACTTCCCTAATAGCTTAAAAAATAATTTCTTACAAGACAATTAGAAATTCTGCCTATGGATGCAAATTTCATAGAAAACAATTTGAAGCCTTGAAAGTGGGTAAAATATCCCTTCAGTTGAAGTCATTTATTCTGTCGATACACTTCTACAACATGTATACTCTAAACCTGCTCAGATAAAGTGAAATTTAGCAAAAGGATAGTCCCCTCCCACCCCCAATCTAACATGCCATTTTAAAAACAGCACAAAGGAACAAGGAAACTAAATGTTATTTGAGCCATCATTATTTAGCGAAACACAAACATCCAAATAGAAACGATTGTTGTTCCACCAGAAGATTAGAAGTTAAATTATTTCCACACAATGGGAATTTCACCTCGTGTCACGGGGGGATGTAGTAGGAGTTGCATTATTTGTCGAACCAAATAGAGATGCGTGGGCCGACTTTGCTGAAATACAAAAGAATTGAACCTTATCTGAAGGCGCTTTCCAAGTGTCTCCTTATAGAGAAGTGGGTGGACGTTGTCCGCCCCTAGCTAAAGCCACGCTAATATTTACAAAATGGATATAAATCCTTGAAGACGTTTTTGCCCGTTTTGTACAAAGAGACAGGAATAAACAAGGTGTTTATACTTGTTATGTTCCATTAATGAAACTTTTATTACTTTACATCGTGGGGGAACGTTTGTTTACTTTAGAAATGAACCACCAACCATTGTAAAGGAAAAAGTCCTGACAGCATTTCCTAGAGAAAAAGCTTAGGTGCATATCCCCAAATGATCGTTTCTTTTTGTGCACCTTAGCTTTTTCATAGCTCAGTTCTTCTTACAACTTGTGTCTTTTCTTTGATTGTCAGTTTTCTCTTAAAGTTTGTTTTTTATTAGCGCAGAAAAGCGAGCGCTGGCCTCCCCAATGTAAATGCAATCTAAAAAAGTCGATTTGTGTCTAAAAAGGGGGTGGTGGAAACAGCACAGCAGGCACAGCACAAAGCCCTACCCAAGTTGTCCCATCCAGGACATTTCTAGGCTTGCATCCTCAGATTTTACCCCCTAAGATCAATGCTGCAATGTAATCAAGTATCCCCAGAACCAGTTCGTGTACCACATTACAAATAAATGAAAAAAAAATATATATATATATATATATCAAAGAGCCTATTTGGGGGCCTTCTATTGGGATTGTGCGAAAGATAAAAAGGCAGAGTGATCTATTTCCAAGTGTGCGTGATTAACACAGATACACTTCGGACTGAGAAATTTTTTTATTCTAAATATTTGTTCAAATAGTACCAGACAATTTGAAATCAATAAACTGTGTCGAGTGGTGAGGGCTGCGGCTGTTGAGAAGTGTCGTGCCACGCCACGGGGCCGCCTGACTCTAACCATGAAGGACAATTTGCGGTCTTAATCCTTTACATCAACTACAAACACCAGCCACGGTTACAACTGTTCAAAACTACTCTCTCAACTAGTTCAGACCAAGGGGACTAAAGAGGTGAAACATGGCCCCCGCGGCCTGGGAGCGCGTTCCTAAGGTTGGCTGGAGAATTCTACAAATATACACATAAATACATTAAGACGAGGATAAATAATCAGGGAAACGAAATGACTCGCTTCAAATAATAAATACAGATCGTTGAGTCCGTTGCAATCCTTACGGGACGGGAAGGAGCATATAAATTAAGGTCTCCGCAACTAAGCTAGACTCGGGTCAGGCCCCGGGGCTGTCCGGGAGCTGGTCCCTCTGCAGAGCGCGCCGCCGATGGATCTCAGACTTACCTTCGGGACACCATTACCAGATTAGCGTCCCTCGGTCCGCAGTATATGGCACTGTCAGGGTTACAGAGGAGAATCCTTGCGGCTGATTTATGGCGAGTCACCCGAAGGAGGGCGCGCCTGGAGGGGAGGCCCAGTCGCCTGCGTCTCGGCCGCTGTTGGCCCGAGACCCAGGAGGCGGCGACCGGGCCAGAGCGAGGGAGGGGGTCACCGAGCTGCCCCGCGGGCCCCGCCCGCCACCCCAGCCACCAAAGCAAAAGAGGTAATTGCGCCGCGAGTTCGGGCCGGTGGCGGCCGCTACAGATGCGTCAGTTTGGGGGCCTCGGGCAGGCGTCCCTGAGACGAGTGGTGGGCCGAGAGATCTGTGTAGGTGGGATGAGGGTCGCACGGTCCATGGTGGTGGTTGCCGGGAATTTGCGCGGCGCAGCTGTAGTCCACGCTGGCCGAAGACGGGTGCGAGAGGTGGCCCAGGTTGAAGACGGGCCCGGACGCAGGCGCCATGGAGTCGACGAAGTTGCCACCCACGTACACCGGGCTGCCCTGCAGGTTGGCGCTGGCGAAGCCGCCGCCGTTGCTTGCCATGGGGTGGGGCTCGAACTCGGGCGCCGCGTAGCGCTTCTGCTGTGGCAGGCAGCTGCTGAGCGGCGCCGTGTAGGCGGCCAGGCCGTACATGTTGGGCTGAGATTTGGCGAAGGCTGGCGGCGAGGGCGCGTCGTAGGCCAGGCCGGGCACGGGCGGCAGCTGGCCGGAGTAGGCCACGTGGCTGGAGGCGCTGCCCAGCGGCGGGCTGCGCTCCGGGGACTGACCCGCCGGCGAGTGCAGGATGCCCTTGGCCTTCTGGTCCTTCTTGTACTTCATGCGCCGGTTCTGGAACCAGATCTTGATCTGGCGCTCGGTGAGGTTCAGCAGGTTGGCCATCTCCACGCGGCGCGGCCGGCACAAGTAGCGGTTGAAGTGGAATTCCTTCTCCAGCTCCACCAGCTGTGCGCTCGTGTATGCCGTGCGCACCCGCTTGGACGCCGGGCCCGGCGGGCTCTTATCCTCGCAGCTCTCTCCTGGACAGGAAGGGAGACAGAGGAGACGCTGAGCGGGAGAGGAGGGGTGGGCACCCAGGGCCGGAGCAGGGTGCTTCCCTGGCTCCCTTCTCTTCCTCCTCCCCCCCCGCCCCCCACCTTAATGCTGGCTGGAGTGGGGGAGGGGCGTCTGAGAGGTGAGACTCCTAGCGGGACCTCACAGGCCCCAGGCCTACCTAGGAGTTGCACCTGAACCCCCACCCCCCCGCCCCGCCACCACCAATATGCCTTCTGAAGTCCGATTCACTCTGCCGCCCCCTCCCCTCCAGCCTAGTCCATCATCCTGTCCCTAAGGCTAAGGCTGTGGAGAAGTTTAATGAGAGACTAGTAGCAGCTGGTAAGGCCTAGCCCCCCCTCCCAGCCCCCATTCAAGGAGGGCCAGACTTCTTTTGAACACTCTCCCCAGCCTCTGCTGGGGGATGGGGGAGGAAGGCACACCCCCTGTACCCCCCCTCCCCTGCCTTGCTCTGGGGCTGGCTCCTGGGCAAAGCACCCCAGGAAGCACAGAATGAGGGTGGAGATCTTAGCACCTCACTCCAGCTCAGCTTGCACCCAAGGGCTCTGCACCCCAACTCAGGGAAGTAATAAACCATAAAAATACTGCCCCTGACTTTCAGGGGCTCTGAGCCCAGGCTGGGTGCATTTTGAGTATTTCCGTGCTAAGAGCAGCAGTCTCAACACTGGTTTCCACTACCCCCGCCACCTCTTGGCGGCTTGTCCGCTCCCTCCCTGGTTGTACAAATGGATTTCTCTGGGGAGGGAGGGGCCTGGGCTTGCAGCTGGGAAGGAGGGGCAGAAGAAGCTTACAGGCTGGAAGGCACTTCCCCCTAGGAACCGAAGCCCCAGAGAGTTGCAGGCAAACCAGAGACTTGATAAAAGCTAGTTACATCCGAGGCCTGAAACTAGCCCTGGACCTGGAAGCAAATTCGTCCACCTGAAGATAAACTGCATCAAAGGACACAAGGCCAGGAAATTTTAGGAACCAATCAGGCTGAGCAGCGAGACGCAGCAGGCCTTAGAGCTCCTGGGCCTGCCCATCTTCTGCCACACACCCTGAATGGATCCACAGAAGATCTCAACTCTAGGGTCTCCCTTTTCAGGGAGAGAAACCCAAGGCTGTTCCTGTTTCAGAGCACATCCTCTTCCCCTAGGATACGCCCACTGCAGTATATGCAGTGCCATATACTGCAAATTGTGGATTTGCTGGGATGGGGAGAAATGGGCTGGGGTAGACCAAGTAGAGTCCATGGCTAGGTCTTGCAGGCTCTGGTTGGATTCAAGTGCGCCATTCTGTGGCTTTGTGATCTTGGGCAACTCTAACAGTTTCCTTATCTGTAAAATGGGGATGTTATCATATACCTACCTCAAAGGGTTCTTTGGAAAATTAAATTAGATAATGCTTGTAAAGCATTTAGCCTGGTTGTTAACATGGAACCATGTTAACACTCCACAGACTTTAGTTTTTATTAATTTAAGGGAGTGGAATTTGTGTGATATGGGCTACATAAGAACCCATGCTTGGAGAATCAAGTTTTGGAGAGCTGTCGGATGGAAGAAGGAGCTGAGTTATGACCAGCAGCCCAAGAAAGCAGACATTAGGTCAATATAAGAGAAGGCTATCTATTCATAACTGTGGGACTTGTCCAGCAATGGCACCAGCAGCCTGGAATGGAGCACCCTGTCCCTGTAAGGGTATGGCTTCAATCAGGGACACTGAAAAGAAAGGCCATTTCGGCATGACTAGAAGTGTAGACCTATGGCCTCCAAAGCTGCACTTCTAGCCCTGAGTCTCTTGCTTCCTAGGTGAGCTAGCTTCTTGGGGTCATTCTGGGGGACTTAGCCCAGGATGAGCCCCCTCAGAGTGCTACCTGCAGTGGCACAGCTGTTCTTCTGCTTGGAGTTCTGTCGGGACTCTTTCATCCAAGGGAAGATCTGCTTGCTGATGGTGGCTGAGGAGCCAGAAGCATTGGGCCCACCCTTGGCCTTCTTGGCAGGCACTCCACCTCCAGGATTGGTGGGCGAGGATGGGGGCAAGGCTGGTGGTGGAGGAGGGGGCTGTGGTGGCTGCCGCTCTGAGTTCAGGCCAGGAGGCTGGCTGCCACCACCCCCACCCTGGCTGTTCCCAGTGCCAGGCCGCATACAGCTGCCATTGAGTTCAGTTCCTTTATGGGCTGGGGCTCTCAGAGGTGCCGAACTCTGGATGGAACAGGCAGAGCCCGGGTAATCAGTGTCCAGGGAGTTGGCAGCAGCGGGGGGTGGGTAAGGCTGATGGGGGGTGCCATAGCCGTAAGTGTCGGTGGCTTTGCTGTAGCCATAGCCTCCGAAGAGTCCTGGGTTTTCATAGTAAGCGGCCTTCTGCATCGTGCACTCAGGAAGTTCCAGGGCCTGCTGACCCGGCTCAAATAACATTGACCACCACTGTCTCTTTCACCACCACCTCTGAGGTCTGCTGAACCCTGAGAGGGCTGGGGTGGCCCCAGGCTCCAGGTGACCTGTGGGGAAGAAAAGTGAAAGCCCCAGAGGGACTGTAACTGACAAGACAGTCAATATAGAAGGACTAGTGTGGTCTCTGCTGCCCACCCACTTCCTAGGGGGAGGAGCTGAGATTTTATGAAGTTCAACTTATTTGAACCCTTGGAAAAGTCTGAAGGAATTTCTCATAAACATAAGAAAAGCCTTTCCTTCTCTTGAGCTCAAGTCCATCCAAGAGAAGGGGCTTCCTCCCCGCCCAGACACTATTTTCTTTCTTCAAGATTGTCAATTTAGCTTTTGAAATGGCATAGAAAAGCACTTATGGCCTCATACATTTTGATGGCTGCTTCTCCCACTGGACTTTGAGCTCCTTGCAGGCAAGGACTGTGTCTCATTCTTCTATATATTCCTAACACCCAGCCCAGTGCCCTGCCTGTAGTTAAGTGCAGTAAATGCTTGTTGAATGAGTGAGGGGATGGAACAGTCAATCTTTGGGACACCCCAGGGTGTTCATGAAAAAAGAAAGCTCTATAACACACTCAGAACAGCCAGAACTCTCAAAAAAAAAGAAGAAAAAAAAAAGTATCTCCCCCACCTGGTTTCAAAATCACAGCATCTTTCATGAAGACCCCGGTAGTCCACTTTCCAGTGACAGGGTGAGAATGTGCCCAGTGAACTCTGTGGGTCAGCACTGTGAAATGTACTAGGAGAGAAAAAACCAAGAACGCTTAGACTCCCAAACTTATTTTGAGGTTAGAAAATGTTTTTTCTCTTTCATCTACATTTTTCTAGTCCTCACTTTGTCCTCCACTACTTTTAAATGGATACTAGAAAGGGTGAAGAGATTTTAGAATTTGAATGCATGGAGCATGGAAGAACATAGAATGCTTTATATTATAACTTTATCATTTTTACCCTGCATCTGTTGTGTAAATATATATTATTATTGACCTCTGCTCTGGATCATCCATGGCACCCCACCTCCACCCACTCCACAACCAATGAGAGAACTTCTTCTGCCATGATGAATGGACCCAGAATTAGAATAAGAAGAAAAAAACTAAGAAAAATTCTATCCCTTTGTGTCCTCTGATTCTTGATGGGGGTTTTCCTTCTCACCCACTCCACCCCCTTCTCCTGAAAGCCTCCTAAGGAGTTAAAGTATAACTAATACCATTCAACCACTTTTGTCTGCTTGATAAAGAAAACTCATAGGTCAGCTCCCTGGTCTTAATTCTTGATCTCCTCTTTCAGGCACCTTTCCCTCCTCAAAACTCCCTGGGCTTCCATCATGGTCATCATGATGGACCACATTGTCTAGACAACTTATGTGGTCTAATGGATTTGACCACTAGGATCAAAACCACTCCTCCCTTCCCTCATTTATCCTCCACTTTCACCAAAGAGCCCAATTTTTAAAATTCTTCATATTAGCCTTTGTTTGGTAGTATTGTTGGCCATTTTGTTTTAAAATATAAGTGAATCTGGCATTTATCTGGATAAGACACAGGCCCTTTTCAATGGGATAATAGAATACCAGGATGTGTTTTAGGAATTGTTTCTATTATTGTCCTTAAATGTATGCAGTTAAGATATCTACCTAAGCAAAGCTGGTCTTGATCTTTCTTTTTCATTCATTTTCTATATCATCCTCTGACTATTAAAGTTCCTGAATATCAAACGGAAAGTTACAGCCTCACCCTGTGACTAATATTTATGTGTTTGCTCCCAAGCCAAAGGACTGGGTACTCCGGGTTTAGTGGTTTCTGGACTTTTCTGGGATCCTGGTTCCGGTCTTAATCCGTGGGCCCTCTGGACGTCAAAATGGTCACATCTGACTCTCAGACCACCAGAACTCACTGCTGCTTCTGCCATTTCGTTTACAACTGTGGAAGCAAAGTAACCCCCCCTTACCTCCCAGGTTGACCAAGTTTATCTCAATAGGTGGACAAATCACATTAAAATAGCTTCTTTAGGAACTGACCACGTCTTTGAAACAGATGGCTTTACATATATATTTGTTCCTATGGCATATTCCTGGAAGAAGCGCGGTGTACTGGGTCTCAAAAGTGTAAATACTTGGCAGCTTCATGAAAAACCCCAGCGCTTGTTCTCCTGCATCTGTTTTCATTGTCTTAAGGAATTTCAAGGCCCACTCAATGATGAGCCACCACCCCAATGTCTACTGCCCCAGAAGCAAGGCCAGTGGCCCTCTCCTCACCAGAAGGGGCTTTGCAGCCTCCCCCCACATCCATATTATAATGCCCCAGAGAAATCAACTCTCCTAAAACAGAACGCGAGCATATTGTTACAAAACTGGTTTAAAAAAAAAAAAAAAAAGGTTATTTCTTTCCAGAAATCCCTACTCCTTGTGAACTCTGCTTGAACCTAAAAAGCAGGAATGGGTCATAAATCACTTGGACAATGGTCAACTGTTCAGTGGCTCATCTTTTCGATCACCCCCCCCCTTTTTTTTTTAAAGCTTTCTTTTTTCGCCTTTTGGTATCTCTGCTCATTTTTGCTCCGGGACCCAATGCCTTGGGGTGAAGACTAGCCCGTGTAGGGGGAGGGGCGGTATTCGAAGTCCTCAGCTGCCCTTTTCTCTCATGCCTCCTCCCCTCAACCCCCCGGGGCACCGGCCGGGGCAGCCTCCCCAGACCCCGCCGGCACAACCCCTGGCCCCTTCTAGGCTAGGGGCGCTAAACGGGGTCTGGCTCGATCTTTCTCGCGGTCCCGGGAAGTTGCCCAACTCAGCTTGGAGGCCCAACCGCAGGCTGGGAATGCAGGGCCAAACGGTCCCCAGCCAGAAGGAAGGCGGCCTCAAAGCGACCACCGTCCGCCTCCTGGGCCGCGCTGGACCGCCGCACCCGCCGCGCCTCTGAAGCCGCTGAACCCTGATACTTGCTCACTGCACTTAATTCTGCCCGGGATCAATACCTAATATGATACCGAATAAATAAAAGGCGCTCACAGCGGCCAGGGGACGGGGTTATTAAGCAGCTGGAGCTCTCACGGTGCATATCAATGCACCTGTCATTGTGGTTTGTAACAAAATTTATGACTGCAAGCACGGCGGCAGTAAACGCTTCAGTAAGGAATGAAAAGAAAAACACTTCCCAAGGCCCGGCACTTTTCAGAAGTGGAAAACAGGCTCCGCGTAGGAGGAAGAGCAGCAAAGGAATTCCCTACTCCGCACTTTTCCAGGCCCCGCGCCCCGCGAGCAGGGGGATTATATAAAGTGGCCAGTGCCCGCCTCTCGGAGCAGCTCTGCCGGGCGGCCGGACGCGGGACCGCGCGCGCGCAGCCTCGCCGGGGGCCGAAGACCTGCCGCCCGACGCTGCCTGGGGACGCCGGGAGGCTCGCGGGGATGCGCGGAGGCCGGCCCGGCCCTCGCTCGCCCACCCGCCCGCCGGGGCCGGGGCCGGGGAAAAAACCGAGGGGCTTGGGGAGGGAGGGGGCGGCAGTCGCCGGGCTGTGACTTGCTCGGCAATCGTAGTAAATTATGGACCGGTAGAGCCGGGGCAAGTTGAAAGAGAAGGGGGAGGCGATGGTTTGCCGGTTGTTTCTGTGGCTCTCAGATGTTTCTAAGGTTCCATTTGGCCTTGGCTTCTCTCCCTGTTTCTTCCTAAACCAGGGCCTCAGAAGCCCACAGATCTCTTTTTGGCGGACAAGACCCTTGCTGGGCATCCCCGTTAATTCGCTGGAACATAGCAACGATTCTTGCTCCCTGCTGGCTTTGCTGCTTCGGGATTCCGAAACCACTCCTTTTCGGGTGTTCTCCGTGGGGATATATTTGCAGCAGAGCTGGGACAGCTTTCTGCCCGAGCTCTCTCCATCTCTCAGCCTGAGCCTCTTCTGCCCTATGGGAAGCCCTGGACGCGCCTTCTAAATCATTCTTATTTAGCCCAGATAACTCAATAGGTAATACACCCTGCATTTAAGGCACTGGGCTCACCCCATTAAAGCGCCATAAATTTGAAGGCCGATGATCGGTTATCATGTAACGGGCAGCAGTTCACACTGAGGTGATCCACTTCAAAGCCGCCCTTTGTTTTATGTCTTGATGTATGAATCCTGCGATGGCTACCTTGAGTTGTAGGACAGATGGAAATGTAGTGGAAATTATTATTTTTTTAAATCACACTACTCACCACAATTGTGTGTGTGTGTGTGTGTGTTCTCAAATTTTGTCGGTAACTCTTTTTAGGTTCTTCGCGTTCCTTTTGATATTCTGTTGAGGCAGATCTGGAACAAAATGGAAAACTCTCAGTGGCAGCCGGTTCTTTCTTATGCACACATGTTGAGAGGCTTTACCCCTTTTAAGGGTGTCATAATCAATGTGACTATTGTATATGTTGCCCGCAGTCATACCAGGCGCCTTCTCCCTGGCAGAAAGGAGATTTGGTTGGCTTCTAGGGAATGAGCGGACTTTAACACAAAATCTCTAGCGGGATGGGGGAAGGAAGAGCTCCGACCTGAGGAAAATGCCAAACCCTCAGGCAGGGGGTGGGCCAAGTGGGTCAAAGGCACAACGGGAATTAGCTCTCTCCTAACGCTTCAACCAGGCTCTAAGTGCTCCAGGTGCCCTAATCCCCCAAGCTGAGCCCACCCTCCTAGGAGCAAAAGAGACCTTGCAGAATTGCGGTGGGAGGAAGGCTACAGCAGAGGGCACCAGAAAAAAAGGGGATGAATATGTAGATAGGCCTGGGTAGGTCCTAGTCAGTGGCTGTCCTACTCAGCCCCAGTGGAAAGGGAGCTGGGCTCTATTTCCTGGTTTGTGCGTTGTATCTTGAATGGTTCCCCTGAATTTATTTTATTCCAGTAAGTACCCACCACACTCCTGGCCTGGGCTGCTCATCCACTCCCGGGTAGGTCTTAGGCTGCAAACCATCCAGGAAACAAACATCCCTTTCACCCTCACCCAGAAACAGACCAAACTGCCCACCACTGTGGGTGCCTAACGGGTGCCCATGCAGGTCAGGCGAAAGGAGAGACACAATCCCCCCTCTTGCATCTGCCC